AAAATTTTAATAATAACTAAATTATTAAATACAAGCACTAAAGTAAAATTAACAATAACTTTGAAGGAACAAAAATAAAATTAAGTGTAAGGCGTTATTTAATTAAATGCTGAAAATGTCCTGCTCCCACAGTTTGACAATGGGCTAGGTTATAATAAAATCTATTGATGACGTTTTGTAACATTTCTTGGTTAATAGATGCACTTTCTTCAATAATTCTTCTTCTCAATTCGTTCAAATCTGCAGGTTTTGTCACAAACACTTTATTTTTCAGATGTCCCCAAAGGAAATAATCAAGGGGCTTTAGGTCTGGTGATCATTTTGAACTAACTCGAAACAATGCAAAATGTAGGTAATATCGTATTTATGTCCTTCAACTCAAATTATTTCTGAAACTAATGGGTTTAGCCATATGACATGTTTCATAATTGTTGTTTAGAATCTCTAGAGGAATTAGAAAATGTAATTAGAAAAGGATCATTCCATTTAAAAAAAATGAAGTTTTGTATAGCACAACTTTTTGGGCCACCCTGTATAATTACAAAAGTCTTATTTCAATAGACTTTATTAAGACCTTGACTGTTCCGGGACTTTTTACACACTGTGTATATTCCTTGGGTCCTAGCATTTTTTCGAGAAAGGTTTCGTCGCATAGCTGAAGCCGCGTACAGACCGAATTTCCAACATAGATCAACACCAACGGCACATGTGCTGTCGTTGACGTTGGAATTGGAAAGCAGTAAAAAGGTTTTGAGAACATCGTCCGCACCGCCGTACACACCAAAGCCAACGCGTTCCAATATAGTTAGTTTATAGTTCACATGTGCCATTGGCGAGCGTTGGAAATTCGGTCTGTACGCGGCTTGACACAGCAGGGCAACCAATGCGCAGACACACTCGCGAGAACAGGAGATTCTACTCCCTTCACTGGTTTGGAACTATTTTGTTGGCTCGTAATGCGCACTTCCAACAAGGAAACCTCAAGAAGGAACCTGCTAAGGAATAAACAGAGGCTAGAACAGCCATGACTACGACAGGGCAAGGATGTGATGTATAGATCCCAATATATTGAGCAACTTTAACACTAAAGATGGAACATCCCATTAATAATAGTTATTCATTATACAAGGGAAAAAAAGTATTAGATTTTAGAGCGAGGTGTGGTTTGCCTCCCGTCGCGACCCGGAGGGAGACAACAAGCTAGCCATAGAACGCTGGGAATGCTGGAGGTGGAACAGGGAAAATCGTTTTCGTTCTCTATTTAACCTTAGAGTTTTCCTAGACATTTCATTCTCTTGCATTAAAATTGGCCTGTTGTTAACCTGCCAAACCTGTATACAGTGTGATTTTTTAAGTGTGCAACATATGGGGATTTTTTTTAGTAATGGCACAACCCAAATACAAACAAGGCCAAAAGTTGGTGCATTAGGTGCACTTAGAATGGTTGCAAGTCCAACAGCATACAGGGTAGCTCAAACAATATCAAAGCTGGTACTGTAAAGTACCCTTATTTTAGAAAATTCAGCAAAATATTATAGAGAAAAGTTGTTTGGAATTAAAAGTTATGCCTAAATACCAAAACATAGCCTCCTAAGATTTTTTTTATTTTCTTTTGAAAAAAATCTATAATTTCTATATTTTTTTTATTTTTTAATTCCGCCCTCAAGACTTTCAACAATTAATTAAAATCAAATCAATTTCACATAACTTTGTTCAAATTCAAGCATATTTGTAAAATTAACTTAGATTTTTAATTTTTTATGGAATCAAAAAATTCATGTTTGTTGCAATGATATTCAACACAACTTTGAAATGTCGCAATTTTTTTTTTAACAAGTTAAAACATTACTAATGATAATAGCCATATTAAAAAAACCGAGAAAAAAACTGTCCTTAAAGTGCAAAAGTTTTATTTTATTTAAGTAAATATTAGTAGAATTTTGATATTTTTTGAGCCACCCTGTATGCTGTTTGACTTGCAACCATTCTAAGTGTACCTAATATGATTATCAGGCATGCACCAACTTTTGGCCTTGTTTGTATTTTGATTGTGCTATTACTAAAAAAAATCCCATATGTTGCACGCTTAAGTAATGACACTGTATATACAGGGTGTCCGTTTTAAGTGATACCACTATTGCTATCTCCGAAACGGTAAAAGATACGAGGTCGGTTAAATTAGAAAAAAGTTGCCTTTTTTGATGCCCATTCAAGATTCGTTTACAGTGTTGCCAAATTCCTTTTAGTTTAGGAAATACAGGGTGATTTCTAAGAAACGCCTAAAACTATTTCATCAATTATTTCGAAAACTATTGATTTTCGGGACACAATTTAAATTTGTATGTTTCATAATTTTTATCGCTTCACAACATGGCATCTTCGAATTTCAAATTCAACGGTTTGTGATCGAACTACCATCATCAACTTCATTTTTTCAAATACGGACCTGGATTTTTAATGTCATTTTTAGAAAGCGCCCTTTATTCTTCTTTCAACGATATACCTCTTAACACATTGACTGCCAAGGCCAAATCCTGAATTATTCGCTGGGGGCCAAAGTTGTATTTTCATATTTTTTGGCTTTTCTTTTATTTTACAGTGAAAATTTACTTATAATTCTGTTTGGTTTTTATTTTTTTGGCTTTTTTGCATTTTTTGTTGTGTCATTCATAAATGAATGACGCGGCCCCCTGGAAAACTTTGACGAAATTTTATCGCACCGGCCACGTTATTCATATGTGAATGAGACAACAAAAAATGCAAAAAAGCCAAACAAATAAAAACCAAACAAAATTATAAGTAAATTGTCACTGTAAAATAAAAGAAAAGCCAAAAAATACGGAAATACAACTTTTAGCCCCCAGCGAATAATTCATGATTTGGCCTGTTTCTTTTGTAAATAATTATAAGTTCATATTTCATCATATACCCATATATTATACATCATATATCAGAAAGAATTAGTTTTTTTTTTGTGTTTGACAGTTTTTTACTTAAAACTATACCTATTTTAAGTAAATTTTTGGTTTCATTGGTCTTGGACAATAACCCAACAAAATTTGCTCTGGCCAAGTTTACCTTGAGAATCCCCAGGGGCCACGCAAATATATCTCCATTTAAAATACACAGGCTGTCATACCTAAAAGCATGACATGGCCTAGAAGTGAAACTGAACCGGCATACAAATATGAATGACGCGGCCGGAACGGAAGTGGCCGTGTCATTCATAAATGTATGACGTGGCAGTCAATGTGTTAAGTATGATTGGCCGACCTTTCTGCTTTTAAAGGTGATCATCAGTGATTGTTACCAAAATTTTACCTTGATTAGGCCCTGGAATTCGTCATTCATAACAAAGACGGTCTAACAAGTATTTTCCTTTATTATTTAGAACAAAATTAACAAAATAATTTTGGATGAACACTTAAAATTATCTAATTGTGGACAATAATTAAAATAATTACTTAAAAACTAATTATAAAATTATTGTAATTTCACAAATTCAGGTTGGCATCAGTGATATGGAATATAAATAAATTTCATCAAAGAATGCCTTGGAAAAAATTAGATTGACAGCTGTGCAACATGTCAAACATTTCGTTATTATTTATTCATTTTATAATAATTGTTAGATGAATAAGAGTACAGTGATTTTCATTATGGAGTTCACGGAAATACCAGAGACATTAGAAGAATTCAAGTAGAGGATAAGGGCTGCATGTGCTAGAATAAATAATAGTTCTGTAAACTTTGTTTCACCAGGGTTCATACTTTTGACATAATTTGCCTTTTTTTTTTAACAAATAGAAATTGACTGAAAGAAATCAATGACGACCAAAACGTTCTACGGTTCTTAAACCAGAAGTCATTCATAATTTGTCAAAAAAAATGAATGTGTCATAATATGAATAATTAATCTACGACAAACCTTTTTTTTCAAGTTTCAAGGTCAAGTATGAACCATGGTAAAACGATCTATATTTATATACCAAGGCCGAAAAATTGCAGATGATGCTTAAGGAATAATGGACTTCAATTTGAGTACATATTTACAATAATAAATAAGTCATTATTTTCGATATTGTTCATAATAAGATAATTGTAAGTGTTCTAAATAAAAGGAAAAGAGTACTTGTTGAATTGCAGGGCCGAATTAAGGTAAAATTTTGGTAAATATCACTGATGATCACCTTTAAAAGCAGAAAGGTCGGTCAATCATACTTAAGAGGTATATCGTTAAAAAGGGAATAAAGGGAGCTTCCTAAAAATGACATAAAAATCTAGGTCCGTATTTAAAAAAATTAAGTTGATGATGGTAGCTCGATCACGAAACGTCGGATTTGAAATTTGAAGATGCCATGTTGTAAAGCGATAAAAATTATAAAACTTTCAAATTTAAATTGTGTCCCAAAAATCAATAGTTTTCAAAATAATTGATGAAATAGTTTTAGGCGTTTCTGAGAAATCACCCTGTATTTCCTAAACTAAAAGGAATTCGGCAACACTGTAAACGAGTCTTGAATGGGCATCAAAAAACGCAACTTTTTTCTAATTTAACCGACCTCGTATCTCTTACCGTTTCCGAGATATCGGGTCTTCAAAAAAAAAACCAATCAAAGATTGCTTTGGTTACGAAAACGTATGTCGCATTATTGTTTCTTTATTGGTCAAAATTTTTGACAATACATTTTGACATTAAAGTTCATTGACAAAATTAAAGGAAAATATTGCTAAGACATACGTTTGAAAAACCATAGCAATCTTTGATTGTTTTTTTTTTTTGAAGACCCGATAGCAATAGTGGTATCACTTAAAATGGACACCCTGTATAGGTATAATATTTTTAATACCTACCCATTTAGAATAACCCCATCCTTATTTATTAATCACTAATCAGATGAAACAAAAAATTACCAACAAAAACGAACGTCGATTGCTATTATAAAAACTCAATTTTATGTACGAATAGGAAATTCCTAACCTAATTTTATTTGTGTGTTCAAGAAGCGACATACGTTTAGTCACTAGAACGACTGGTACTTCTAAATAGGTATTAAACATTCTATAGTTCATTTTTTGGCCATACCATTAGCTTATTTATAAGTTTGTTTTGTGTCATAAGTTGAGTTTTTTTTTATTTGTTTTTGCTAGCTCAAATGAAAGGACTAAAATTTGATTATTATTCGCATTCACAACACATGCATTCTTTGTTCCCTTTGTTGCGCGAGTTTACATAGAGTCACACTTTAATAATTATTATTATGCAGAACGATTATTTTTATTTGGTGTTTAATGTTAATGTTCTTATACATTTGTGTTGTGAACTTTTGATATAATAAACCATTGACCCATAACAAATTATGTTCATTGTATATTCTTCTTTTTAACATTGTGTTTGTTTTCAACACTCTCCAATGTTTGCAACGATTGGAAGATTTGTTAATTTTCAATTCAAAAACACAAAAATTATTCATTATTAATTCAGTTAAAAAAAAATGTTGAAAGAAAAATAATCACAGTCTTAAGTAAATACAGGATGTTTAAAAAATCGATACACTGTAATCTTTGTAATAAAAAATATTGCTAGTTTTTGGCGCTTATCAAGTTTTTCAGATGTTTCTATCATACAACAAGTTTATTCCAATTGTCTTGTATTCCATTATCATTTTGTACATACGAGGCAAACACAGTTTTCTTTACATCTTAGCTGCTGTCAAAACTTTCCTGGATAACCTCATAAGGCCAGACACAGGATCCCTACCAAAATATTTCACTTGCAATTCTTGCCCTACTTCCAAACCTAACGCTGAAGGATGTCCAACCTGTAAAATAAAATTGATTTGAAAAATTGACCTCCGTTTGAAAATTAATTTGTAATTACCTTTCTTGTGTCTAATTGCGAATTATGGAGTAGAGCGGGAGGCATACCAGCGTATAATGTAACCATAACACCAATATCTCTGACCTAAAAAAACAAGTTTTTATTACAAAAAATAAGAGTCCTTGGGCCCAGGCCTGAAGAAATTTGTGATTATCTCACCGTTAGAACTTTTTCTGTGTTTTTTTTTCTGTATCTTTTATGACCGTCTCACATAAGAAAATTCTTGTTAGTGGGGCGTTTTTTTTTGGGACTCCATCAAATTCTTTGATTTGATGCAAGGCAAAAAATGAACTTCAACATAGTCTTTTCTTGTAACCGCAAGTTTTTTTTTAACAGAAAAACACCATTAACATAGGAAAGTTATGACGTTTTAAAATATAGTCCTTCTCAGATGATTCACCTACATCTGGAAAGCGATAAATCTAACCATTAGCTCTGACTTCGGATTATTAATAGATTAGAGATAATACTCCCATGACTGCCTTAGATTTTGTGAATTATTCTACCTGTGTACCTGTAGTGTGGTCGTACACCAATGAAACATCAAACATGCAACATGCAACGAGCGACATGAAGTAAATACCGCAGATAGACTACACCATTTCCACTTTTAGTTCAAAATAAATAAAGTTGATTTCAAAAAGCATCAAATGTATTTCAAAATAACAACTTTAATTTAAAAAATATCAAACGTATTTCAAAATCATCAATTGAATATCAAAAAGCATCAATTTAATTTCAATCTTTATAAATTTTATTTCAAAATACAACAAATGTATTTCAAAATAACCAAATTTATATCCAAAATACATCAAATGTATTTCAAATTAGTGAAATGTATTCCAAAAATGGTCAGTTTTATTTCGAAATTGCCAAATTCGGTTGGAAAATAAAGTATATGTTTATATCATACAGTTAAAAAAATCAAATTATTACCAGACACCCTGTACCTCCCTTACAGTTTTTGATGATATAAGAAATGATGATTTTGAAATACATCTGATTTTTTTGGAAGTATAAATGGTACAATTTGAAATACATTTGATTAATTTGAAATACAAATGACATATTTGGAAATTAAAATAACATATTTGAAATACAATTGATTACTTGGAAATACAAATTACAATTTCTGAAATACAAATGATACTCTGTGAAATGAAAGTGACAAATTGGAAATTAAAATATCAATTTTTGAAATAAAAGTGGTTTATTTTGAAATACATTTGCCCGATTTTGAAATACTGTTGGAAATGGTGTAGTGTTGCGTAATAATATATCCATTGTAAAAACGTACAATGTCTTCAGAATTCTGTGCTTCAGATCATCGCACACCGGTGCAGTACACGCGTTTGCTGCACCAGTGTGTGATGATGCATGTTTGATTTTTCATTGGTTTACGACCGCACTAAAGGTGGAACGCGGCACATGTGATTCACAAAATCACTGCCAACAATTTTAGAGAATTTCTAGAGGCGAATATATTAAAAGCAACCTCAACTCAAATGAACGAGAAAGTGCTGCATATGGTTGGTCAGGTCATATAGGTAAGGCTAAATGCGAGGCTAAATGTATACCTAAGGGGATAGATTCATTATATTATAAGCTCGATTTTTTCACGATGAATCCTTTTTTTCAAAACTCGCTATTAATATTGTCGGTTACATGATTCCAATGTGTTGCCCATGTGGGGTATCCGACGCTGTAAATGACCGAGAATATTTATCCAACAATTTTTTTTTCCGATTTCTGATAGAAGAAAACGCGATTGAAAGAAAATACTGTATGCTGAGGTCGTTAATGTTTTCGTGTCATCAAATCAATGAGTTTGAATGAGTCCCAAAAACTATGAAAGCAGTAAGGACTGGATATAAAGATCACAATCACAAATTTTCTTAGGCCTGAGCTCATCGACTATTATTTAACCTCAACAATTGTAGCCTTATAAATCCCACCAAACTCCAAATCAGGCACCCTTTCTGTGGTTAACAGCTTCTGTATTATTTCTTTGGCCTCGTCCATGGCATTTTGATTTGGGGCGAACATTTGAAACATTGTATCTTCCAACTGAGACACCTGTACCCCAGTTTCTGCGAATAGCTTCTTCAAATTTGTCCCTCCAACTCCTAACAATTTTGGTCTTTTGTGTGCTTCTACTTCAAACTTTTCAACCACGGGCATATTTTCTTTTTTATCTAATCTCGGTTTGTCTATGCATTTCTGCATTATTTGAAGTATCTTCTTTTTGGCATCTGAAGCCTTTTGAAGAGCTTCCATAACAATTTTCAAAGGTAAGCCTGATATTTTTATGTCAGCTTGTAATGCTGTAATGCCTTTATTGTTGCCAGCAACTAAAAATAAACCATTTAGCTATAAACTTATAACAATGTGCAAGATATACTTTTGAAATCCATATCTCCCATATAGTCTTCAATACCAAGTAAATCAGTAAGTATTCGATAATCATCAATTTGTTCTCCATTGTATTTTGTAACTAAGCCTATGGCAACTCCTGCTGCTGGAGAATTTATCGGAACCCCTGCATCCATCAGAGCTAAGCTGCCTCCACAAACACTTGCCATTGAACTGGATCCTGTATAGACAAGTGATAAAACTTCTAAGATTTGTTAAATAAAATGAACGTAAATGTTTACCATTTGACTCTAAAACTTCCGATGTCAATCTAATAGTAAAAGGAAAGTCACTTGGAATGGTAGGAAACAAGCCTTTTTCCGCTAAGGCACCATGTCCCATTTCTCTTCTGCCAATTGGACCTATCCTACCCGTTTCTTTCGTGGCAAATGGTGGAAATTCGTAATGGAGGAAAAAGTTCTTTTCTTTGACACCACTGAAAATTGAAAAAACTCAACTTTAAAATTTATCTGGAGTCTTAACTGTAGGATTTCTTGAATGAGATTGAAAAAAAAAAATGTTACAATCATAAAATTAATCTTATTGGTCTGGAATTTGAAAAATATCTAGAAAACAATATTATTATAAAAATAAAATATAAAGTCGGTATGCAAAGTGGGTGAAGTTACTGGCAATCCTTTTCGCGCTTTGTAATTATTCAATGGAAGTGTCATGTAATAAGTGATTTTAGAAATCACTTAAAATCAATTTGGCAATCTCGCAATCCTGCTACAATCGGGGAAATCGCTGGAATAGGCAGGAAGTGAGGGAAATGTTAAATTCTGGAAGATTTTGCGCCCTATTTGGGTTTAGAATTCCGTGCATTAGCTTAGAAGGTGGACTAGATGCAATCTTTACTAATCCACCTCAGCTGCAAACTGGAAAACTTTTAGTGCACTACGCTACGCAAAATCAGTGTGTATAAGTGAAAGAAATCCAGAAGGCAGTGAAGGCACTGACAGAAGCACCAATGATTTGAAGTTAGATTTAGGTCCATCTTTGGAAAATTTGACATATTGAATATTGAGGACTCTAGCTATAGATAAGACTTGAATACCTGTAAATGACATAAATATAGTAGAAAATCCAAATGTTGATTATTCTTTAAAAAATAGGAAAACCATTTTATGAGCATTATGTACACATTGGCATATTGAATAATACATACATTATTCTCTGTAATTAAAAGACACAACCTCAGCCTGATATTCATGTTGATAAAAACATCTTCACAGCGCTCGAGAAAGATAGAAAGGATGAGGGATATCAATTTTTTTGAAATTCCATTTTTTGTGATATTAGGTCAATGATTCAAACTATCCCGGTTTGGATTCCTGGGACGAGTGCCAACAAACGAGGCAATTAATTCCCTCATTTTCCATGTACAGAAGGTTATTGGTTATATATTATCCACTCACTATACCATATAGAAAAAACGTTGTAACAAGCATGGCTTCCCATACTGATCGATGCAAAATATTATTCAAATAAAACGTAATGAGGGAATAGTTATTTTCCTAACAAGTGCGCAAAACGATACTTTCCCGCACGCAATAGCAGTTAGATGAACGACGCGAACCGGACTTTGGATAAGCTTTAAGGATAGAAAAGAGACTTGGCGCACAAGCTAGGAACAATATTTTTTCTATGAACGTTCATACCTTGCGCACGGTTATAGAAAAAAACTAGAAAAGATAGACCCAACCAACTTTATACATCCATTGTTACGAAATTGCATCGACAACCGGTCAGGATTCTAGGAATTAAATTGTTTACGTCTAAAGGTAGCCTTTCGATGGTTGCGGCCGATTGCGACCACGACTGATGCGGCTGCGACTTGCGTCCAGTGCGATCTGTCGCATCCATACCCCCCCTTTCTACAGATGCGACTTTGTATACGACACGACTGACACGATTCCTTATGTCATCAATTGTTTTCTAACTTTCGATGTACCCAGTACAATGAATTCTAATAAGTTGAAATATTGCAAGTTTACTAGAGGAGGAAGAAGATGATGACGATTCAATTTTACATCACATAAAAGTGACAAAAAAAAAAGAAAAAAAATTATCTCTTTAAATATTGTCTCGATATGCAAAGAGGCTGCTGTCGTAAATTGATGGATTTTTAGCCCATATTCTATCAAGTTCTCATCATCCTCGCTCGAAATCGAAGTCATTTTCAATAATAAATGTAAATTCTTGCTGCCCAATGCTTGCGGCCACTACGACAATGCGACCCGACTGCTCCTAGAGCGGTTGAGTCGTAACGGCCGCCTTGGTCGTCGCTGTCGCACTTGTCGCAGTTGCAATGGTCGCATGTTTTTAAAGGAGACTTATGTGAATACATAAAAGCGGTACACACACGACCGGCCGCATGGTCGCATCAATCGGAACGGTCGCACTGGCCGCGACCATCGAAAGACTACCTTAATGCGAGTATTCGGGAAATAATCAAGTAGGTCGTCGAGTTTTTCTAGATGAATCCCGAGTACAATGTCGGCTATAAATAGCACGCAGTTACACAGTTAGAGCAACTCTAGATAAGAGCTTTGTTGAGTCGGTTTACATAAGAGTTTTGTTCGACTTGTTGAAGTCAGTTTCAATATGAGAATTGTTGTGTATGTACGTTTCGAGAAGATAAGTAATGGGTGAATTTTTCAGTCTGAGTAATTGATTAATGGAATAGTTTTTATTTTTTATGAAGTGAGTTTTAGTGGACTTGGAATTCATGACAATATTTAGAATCAAGTTTCAAGTTTATTTATTTCAAAATAGTTACAAATATTGTTAAATTAAATTTATATTACAATACTAATATGACTAACGGCTATTTGCACCGTTATAACTTAAGGAGATATTTAATCTAAGTGAAGCTTCGAATATGACTCTTGTAAAAACAAAAATCACATTCAAAGCTCCACTTTGAATGAAAGAATAGTATGCTTAGGTTATTAATTTTGCAATTATGAAGCAGATGTGTTGGATAAAGGTAATCTTTCTTATATATGATTTTTAAAATTTTATTTTGAATTATTTGTAATGGGTTTGAGCGTTGGTTTAAGGTAGTATTGTACATACCACCCCAAGCCAATATACCATATCTCAACAGGGATTTTACTAAACTCTGATACAATGTGGTTATTAAAGCCTTCAATACAATATTTCTTAAAATATAGAAACTATGTATCAAGAATTTTTAGTTTTTTTGTAATATATTCTATTCAACATGTTTTCTCCATTTTAGGTTAGAATCCACAAAAATACCCAGATATTTTGCATGTGGTACTTCATAAATTTTTTCGCCAAATCTATCAATCTCTATAGAGGTAAAATCTGGACGATTTCTGTCGATTTTCGTAAAAGCTATGTAATTGGTTTTTTGCAAATTTAATGAAAGTTTATGGGTATCTTCTAGCCAGGTTTTGACTCGTTTCAGTCGTTTCAAATCATCTACTACCTTAGATCTAACCTCTTCCCAAGTGCTGCCGCTGCCACAGAATACTATTATATCATCTGCATACGAAATTATTTTTGCCATTATTCCTTGATCTACCAGAGCTTTTATGTAGATATTTAAAAATATTGGGCCAATGACAGTGCCCTGGGGGACACCTATATTAATCAGGTAGAAAAGTTCAAAAAAAATTATGCAGGGTGTTAAGTACATTTGCTTCAAGAATTAAATGTCTTGGCTTGGTTTTATTTGGATTTTTCTTGGGAAGTTGAGAACCACTCATATAATGTTCGAGATAATGTTTCACAAATTATTTAAATTTGGCACCTAGGTATAACCCTCCAAATCAACTTTCGTAATGAACTTTTTTTCTTATTACAAAAATAAAAAATATATGAATTAAGTGGCTGGTCAATTTATAACCAATAATCCTGTATACAAGATAGAATAGGTTAGAAAAAGATATATCATTGAATGTATTATTGTTTATTGATGATTCAGTTAGCAGAAATAGTTATTATCCTAATGTGCGGAAAGTTACTTTCCGCAAGAGTTAGGATCAAGATTTTTTCTACAAGCACACACTTTATATATTTTTTCCATAGGTAATGTTAAAGTAGCCTTTAATCTACTAAAAATAGTAGATAAAGTAGTACTTACCGCAAGGGTAGATTAAATGATACTTTAACAGCAAGGATAGATAAAGACGTTTATTTTGTCAAAAATATATACATATTTTTGTTTTTTATTTATTTGTCAAATGAATTTCTACTTATGCAAAATGGTTCGACTCAAATAATTTCTAAATATTTTTGATACTACAGGCGTCCATAATTAGGCTATGGAAAAAAACTTTGTTTTACACACAACGATAAAATGCCATTATCGTCTCCCGAAATTAATTCACTGGCGATTCCGCTCGTGAATTAACTTTTCCAGTCCACGATAAACTACCATTTTATCGTCTTGTATAAAAAATAACTATTTTTCAAATTTTATTTTAAATAATATTAATTTTTTTTTATTTATTATTAATAATATGGATATTAAAAATACAGTTCTTTTCATTAACTTTGATAACATATTTTAATCAGATAACCAGAGCAACCCTATAACCACGCAATTTAAGCAGGTGAGTTTTCCATTGCTTTTAGTAAATTCTATACAGGTGTTCCAGGTACGCAGAGCGTGAGAAAGATAGTTTCCAAATTAAAATGCGCGCGGGAAAGTGGACAAAAACGCACGCTTGTAGAAAAAATCTATTTTGCTCTTGAAGGAGTGGAGTTGATTGCTCAATAGTTTTTGAGAAAAAAAAAATAAGTGATTTTCCCCATAAGCAACAATAAGTTAGAAAAAGAAAAGATAATATGTCATGGAGTGGAGTTTAGATTGTCTATTTATGATGTCATGATTTATGTGATGATGTGATTTCATTTTAAGCATGAAAAATCCAGTACCTTTTGGACTTTGATAAACGAAATCCTGATGAATACTACACTACAGATAGGGACAAGAATAAATAACGTCAACATTTTTTTGAGGAATGGCATATGAAATTCTCTAATAAGTAAATGCAAATAATGCTCTTCTTCTTGACCTTTGAAACAGTGAATAAACTGTCGCCAAGCATTTTCTGTAGAATTGCCCATTTACTAGGAAAATTCGAAGTTTCCACTCATTTTCTCCCTTACTAAGCATTTCCACAAAAAAAAAAAAAAACAAATAACGCCACGCTGAATGATTGACAATAATTAGGACATAATTCGTTGTAGTCCGAGAGCCAGCGCCAAAAAAGTGCAAGAGTTTCATGAAAGCTGAAAATGTAATATAAGCTTGTATTTGTGATGCATATAACTATACTCGAGTCAGCAAGTGAGGTAGCGGGACAAGCTACGCCCACGCACCTTTGAATGTGTAAAAAATTAATCGCGATGAAAGAGTTTCATGACAGCTGAAAATCTCTCAATCCATTGTTTATT